AGTGGGAATTTCTTGATTTGGAGAAAAAGTGAATGAAGACACAGCTATATTTATTTAATTATTTTTATGATTATATTACACAAGAAACACAAGGAGTGAGAACAATTTTCAAATAAATAATTTCATACGTAATCATAGTTAGTACTAGAAAATATATATATACATAAAAATTTGAATTACACTTGCAGTGACTAGTCAGGATAAATGAACATTATCATCATATCAACCAATAAAAGAATTTCTTTCGCCTTAACTCCTTACTCATTTAAATCCCCAAGGTCAAACCTCCAACTACAAATAATTCAAATTTTATCTTCTATGGCCATAGAATAATATTTATCTTTAAAACGAGTCAAAGACATTTTAACAAAATTATATTATAATCAATCATAAAAACAATCACGTTAAATAAATTTGAGAATTTATCATTATTTAAGCTTTAATTAAATAACATATACGTAAATAAAATATATTAAGAGTACCAATTAGTTAAATGACAATGATAATTATTATAAAATAATTAAACAATATAAAATATGAACATATTAATAATTATTATGGATAAAAATAATCATAGCTTAAGCAAATAAATGAGGTTAGGGACACCTCACTAAATAAATACACATGAAAAATAACATAAATAAATAAACATAGTAGTAAATAAAAGTTTAAAGAGATAAAGTTCTCCTTCCCCTTACCTTAAAGTCATTTATTTTTTTTTCCTTTTTATCTTTCTCTTACGTTTCTCACGTTGTTTCAATCTCTTCTTTTCACACCTCACGCTGTTCACTCTCTTCTTTTCACACAATATTCGTTCACCTTCTCCTCCTATTTATAGGGCTTTTGCCCTTTGTGATTCTTTGTGATTCGATTCTGATTATCTTATCTCTGCTCTCACTGTAAATTCCTTATATCCTTATCTATGTGCACTTCATTTATTGTAATGCCAACGTACTCCCTCCATGTAACTTACCACGTAACTTACCACGTAAATGCTCACGTAACTTTGCCACGTAAATGCTCACGGAACTTGCATAGCACATTATATTGGTAGTCACGTAACTGCACATTATTTTGGTAGTCAATGAAATCCGTAGCACATTTCTCTCTTTTTTTTTCGTTATATAAATAGCATTGAAATAGCATTGGTAGTCACGTGTGTGTATATATATATATATATATATATATATATATTTTAATATA